ATCCTGAAATTGGATTAACCAACCTGATATCTACATAGTTAAATTAAAAAGCCTGTGACTATTAGCTGATGTTGCTGTCTCACGGAGGATCGTTGATAATGCAGAAACCTGTCAGGGACTGCTTGATATGTCACAATATTTTGATTTCCGAACTAGTGGTCTTCAACGGTACCAGCATTTGCAATATTTTGTTTGGAATTGGTATTTTCATTGAACACTTACCATCAGACTGAATGATCATCTGTACTAGGGACATGTCCTCGGAACGGAAATACCTCGGAGGTATCATTTTAGCTGGTGCATACAGCAAGGAATAGATCGTGAGTTCTACTTTTTATCATGAACCTATTCGATTCACATGCGCTCGCTTTACTTAATTATTATGGCCTGTCTCCTTGTTATGAACATTGATGTGAATGAACAGAGAAGCGCCGTCAATGATAGATCAGTAGAAATGTTTACTATACTGTGTACTCTGTGTACTTACGTACTTCATTTTTTACCTAAAAAAACAAAAAGACATTGTTTATCTTCTAGATCTGAGATGTATGACTCACCTCCTGTGTGGGTTCATTCGAACATAATCCCATGGAAACCCATCGCCCGAGTGACCAGTGACCAGCCTTTACATTCACAGAATGTAGAAAGACTATGAGGATATACGACACAATATAGTTTGTTTCAAACTAAATTCAATTTGCGACATGAAAATACAGTGCTGTGAAATACCAAGAATTTAGTTTAGTACAGGAAACAGTTTTAAATAAATACAACAAGAAGGGCATTCCACTCCCAGTCCCAGAGTCCCGGTCCAGTACAGTATCCCACAAACCGGACTGACCAGAGTCTCAAAGACTCTCAGCGACCCACGTCTCAGGACTCTCAGAGTCTCGAGCGTCGCCCTCAGACTCTCATCAGAGGCTCATCAGTCGCTCAGAGTCAGAGGCTCAGAGACTCAGACTCGCACTCAAAAAGTCTCAGTATCCGTGGTTCAGTATGTACTCTCTGAGACTTTGATACGCTGACTCTCCAGTCCCAGACAGGCCGACCCCCACACTCGCGTTGGCCTCTGGGGAAGTCTCAGACTCACACCTACAAGACACAGTCGCCTAATAAAACTTCAACAAGGAGCTGTTCTAAAATTGCAATAAACGCGCCAAAATTGATATTATGTAATTTATGTGTACTTACATACGAGGGACTTCCAACTAACTACTAGTAATATTTTAAGAGATACCACAGACTATAGAAATTTTGTATTGATTGCTGTTGTGGTAGTGGTCTTCTACTGAAGGTAACGCATTACAGCAGCTTAGCTCTGCGTACTCTGCTGAAAGATAGAGGGCACGTCTAATACATACCGTATTGGCGGTATCTGGCTGCACAGCGGAGCTCGATTTAGTCTTTGCCACACTTCAATGTGTGCATTGTGAGTAATAGAACACTTCGAATAGCAGTAGTTTACGAAGCGTGATTGATAGAAAAAAAACTGGCGTGATTTTGCATACAGTGCTAGTGGTATATAAGTCTTCACGAATAGTTGTCGGACACTGTGTAATCGAATAAGACACGATGGCGTTTGTAAAGAAAGATGGGTATCCAGAACGAGAGTTCTGGATCAGTGAAGATATCGAATCAAAAGTTCGAGACATTGAGTCCTTTCTCGAGAAGAATGGGCACACCACCTCTCCCAACCTAATCTGTGAAGGTGCTGTGTCCATTCTCACGTTACAAGAGAATTTATATGGTTCACAAGCTAGTGATATTGATAACGAGTCTAAGTTACGAGTTAAGTTGCCGTACAGCTTATTTCTCAATATGGGCTCCGGTGAAAGCCTGAGTGTCATTCTACTGACAGCCATCAAATACATGAAAACGAAGAATATCGCAGATTGGACTCACGTCGCTTCTGCCGCCAGCGACTCACACGGCATGATCGACGCAATTGAAGTATGTTCCTGTTACGTGCATATATTTTCTTTTGTTGTGTATTTATATATTTCTTGCTATTATATGTATTTCTATATTATTATTATATATTCACGACCAAGCCAACAATCCATATCACTATAGAATGTGGTGTTCTGGTCATATATATGTGTGTGTGTGTGTGTCTGTGTCTGTGTGTATGTGTGTGTGTGTTCGTATCTGTCTGTTTGTGTGTATGTGTGTGTGTGTTCGTATCTGTCTGTTTGTGTGTATGTGTGTGTGTGTTGATTTATATTTATATATATGTGTGTGTGTGTCTGTGTGTCTCTGTATGTGTGTGTGTGTGTGTCGGTGTTTCGTGTGTATGTACACGCGTGTGTGTGTTTATGTCCGTTTGTTTATATATATATATACATGCACATATATATATATATATATATATATAAATATATATATATTATGTAAATATATATATATATATATGTATGTATGTATATATATACATATATACATATATAGATAGTAAATATTTATATTTGTA